TAGTAATCGTAATCATTCAGTCCCAATTTTTTTTTTAAAAAAAATCATATATAAACAACCGTTGTTCCTATCAATATAAATAAAAACGTCCTCCATAGTTCCTGCATGAAGCTAACCTATTCCTTCCTTTTTGTGAATGGTCATAGCTTCCACTATATAAAGTTGAATCACCTTACACCAACATCTATATGGCATAAACTGTATATAGTGTTAAAAGATCCACCGAGTGTTCTGGATTGGTTTAATTTAATTAATTTAATTGAATTTCACATATACAGTACGAGCATTTTTTTTTAAAAAAAAATCGACGATCCGGATGCCCCATAACAGGAATTGACCGAATTGTGATACAATAAAAATACGGTAACATATTTAAAAAGCTAAATTTTGAAAATTTTTTAACATTAAAAATGTTTGCATTAATAACATTTATCATTAGTTTTGCTACTATCGCTTATTACATACATGCTAAAAATAAAATACCAAAAGGACTTGAAGGTATTCCACTTATTTCTGCGTGGCCTATAATATGGGCATTGTTTCGACAAAAGCATCATGACGAAATCGAAGATAAGATTGCAAAATCTGTTCGAGGTCATGATATTTATTTGGTAAGTTAAATTTCATACATATATTCTTAATTTGATTTATTATTGAATCATTGATTTCGAAAATTTTATTCCTTAGAGTAACGTTTTTGGTTATACATCCGTAAATATCAATAATCCTTTGTACCTTAAGGATTTCTTTACAAAACTCGGTGAGCATAAAAAATGCAATGTTAATTCCAATTCTATCATTTAACATCAAATTCTTTTATAGAGGATGAAGATCCTCCAAAACTTAATATGAGTTTCAGAGGAGCTATGCAGGAGTTTTTCGGTGATGGTTTAATTTTTTCGAATGGTGACGTACGTATATACTTGACTTGTCATATGACACTCAATATTTTATAATGATTGGATTCGTATATTTTATAGAAATGGCGAACTTTTAGAAGATTAGCCAGTCCTGCTTTCAATAACGCCTTGTCTCCAGATATCGTTGGTGATACTACATTTGAACTTTTTAATTTCATGCAACATAATTTAAGTAGACCGATTGATATATTCGAAATTATGCAACGTACTACAGTCGAAGTGCTTGGAAAATTGGCATTTGGATATCGATTTGGTGCAAGTACTGATTTCTTAACATAACAATATACCGAATTTTTTTAATAATCAAAAAAATATTCGGGGATCCTTTTTTTTTTGTTTAGTGCTTGAATTCTGCCGAAACTCCTCATATCATAAATATTTATAAATATATAATGTCAACCGTAGAATCTGTTTATCAAATCATATTTCCATGGTTGATTAAATTACCGACAGCTCAAAATAGAAAATTCTTTGAAGCTAATAAAGAATTTAATGAGTTCATTTCTGATATTATTAAGACAAGGAGAGATGAAGTTGAAAATCAGAATGGTTATAATAATGGTCGAGTCGATCTGTTAACAAGTATGCTGGAGCTTAGCAACCAGGAGGGAATTCATACTGATTCAAAGCAATTAAGAGATGAGATGGTGGGCTTTTTCGTTGCAGGCCATGACAGTAAATATATTTTTCCTTTATTTATTTATTTATTTTTTTTTTTATTCTTAATTATTTAAATATATTTAATAATTATAATGTGTATGATAACAGCAACTTCAATGGCGTTAAGCAGTTCGTTATATTTTCTTGCAAAATATCCGGTAAACATCTAATAAATAAATCTTGAATTGATTTTACTTTGGTTTTTAATAAACTTTTTTTTTTACATAATTGAAATTACATAGGAAATGCAAGAAAGAGCACGAGGAGAAGTAATCAGTGTACTTGGAAATG